ATATATATATATATATATATATATATATATATATATATATATATATATATATATATATATATATTTATTTATATATATTAAAACATGCTTCAAAACATATTGTCAAATGTTTGGAGAAGCTCTTTAATTGCTTTCCTATATACTGACAGCAATGACAGTAGGAAAACATGAATGTATTTTAACATCTCTCTTACAAGAATAGTTGATTTTTTTAAAAAATAAGAGCATGGTAATATCATCATTCTTATAATGAGTGCATTTTGCCACTATGTTCTCAGGTGAAGGTCAAAATGGAAGAGGCTGTGTCATTTCTTTCAAAATACCTTTAGCCCAGGAAATGAAATCATGATTTGGAAGACTCTCCATTTATCCTAGGCACATCACACTAAGATTGTTTTACAGCAAACCATAATATCTGAAGGGAAGAGTCACCTTTCACAAAAAGCCAAAAGCAAGAACCCATATGGTAGATAAGAGTTATGTGTGAATCAAATAATTAGTCCGTGCCTCCATACCTACAGTAAGTTCACCAACAATTTTTTATCTTGTGATAATTTAAAACAAGTTTATCGCATATTACTGAAGCTAGGATGTGATAACTTGTCTTCCAGTATTTGAGGGGCTGTCAGAGAGGAGATTGACTTATTCTCCAAAGTACCAGGGCAGTACAAGAAGTAATGGGTGGAAGAGAGATCCAATCAAGGAGACATTTCCTGACAGGTTAACAGATTAAATCAAATGAACAACCTGCCTCCCATCTCCAGAGGCTTTTAGGAACAGACTGGATAACCATTGACCAGGATGTTATAAGACCATGATGGCGAATCTATGGCACGTGTGCCACAGGTGGCACACGGAGCCATATTTGGTGGTACGCCAGCCATCAGCTCTGGCACGTGCATGATTTTTCACCCTTCCAGAGGGCCGGGGGAGGCCGTTTTTGCCCTCCCCATGCTTCAGGAAAGCCTCCGGAACCTGGGGAGGGCGAAAAGCGGGCCCAACGGCCCAACCGGAAGTTCGTTCCTGAACTTCCGGTTGCCCACTGGGGCTGTTTTTCGCCCTCCCCAGGCTTCAGGAAAACCTCTGGAGCCTGGGGAGAGGTCACACATGCATGCACGGTGGGGTTGCATGCGCAGGTGGGCGGGGAATCGGGTGGGCATGCACGAACACAATTTTGGCACACCATAAGAAAGATTTGCCGTCACTGATATAAGGTCTCCTGCCCTTGAGTCAGGAGTTGGACTAGAAGCCCTTTGAGGTCCTTTCCTACGATTCAATGTTATATGTTCTGCTTTGTTTTCAAAAATCATTGTGAAGTTCAACCACTATTTTAGGTCAGGCAGCACTGCCAGCTGTGGTAAGCAACCTAGAAACAAAAATTACCATGTTCCACATGAGAAAAATGGGGGGGGGAGGAAGAAGGGTTTACTACGATATATGCCACTCATTCAGGCTGCAATAAATCAAGGTTGTCCAACTTGGTGTTTTGATTTGTGAGGATTTGAAGACAAAAAATTCGGGAAGATTGTACTAACATATTTTTCCATGAGCTGTGAATGCTGCCCTCGTCTCCTTCACCTAACCTATTGATGTCACAAACATCTTCTTTTCTTACTTTATGGAAGAAGAAGTAGAGGTTTCCAAAAACATTTACCTGATGTGTTACTATAGTAACCCGAGGGCTGTCCAAATTGAGCCAGGAAGGAATCTGCCCATTTGTGACTATGAAGATATGCCGTACCCAGGGGGCGTGCCTCTCTATGGATCGCAATGAGTACCGCAACTCTTCATTGTCTTCAAAGCGGCTGGGTGAAATATCTTCATCCTGCTTAGACTATTGGAAGAGCAATTGACTTTCTCAACATACAGTATACTTGGACTATAGCTCCCATTCTCTCTAGCCATCTGGCTGAAAATGATATCTTGTCGTCCAAAATATCTAGTCTACAGATACACAATTCACTGTTTCTAGTTATTTTTCATCAAACTATAAAATGTAATTGTCATCAAATCTGGAAAAAAAATTATTTTGTTTCTCATACATTCACAAATACACATTTCTCATAAATATCATTAGTGTTATATATTATCCCTTAACATTTATGCTTCCATTCTTTCCCTAAAGATGTAATACTTTATTCAAGTTTGCTTTCCTGCCATCCTGTACATGTATCTTATATTACAACCCTACTTCTTCTTCCCTTTCTTTCTCCTACCCACCCTTCTTCTGCCATCGCTCGGTGAAAACTCTGATGGGGCGCAGGAGTTCATGGCTTCCATGACAGCCATGGGCTTGACCCAAGTAATTCGAGGCCCAACACACTCAGCGGGACACATGCTTGACCTTGTGTTTCTTTCGGAGCAGTGGATTTACGATCTTGGTCTGAGGGGGAGCGACAACATACCCCTGTCGTGGTCAGACCATTGCCTACTGAGGCTCGACTTCTGGAGGCCAAACCCCCACTGTAGGGAGGAGGAACCGACCAGGTGGTTCCGCCCCAGGCGTCTTATGGAGCCAGCAAGGTTCCAGCCAGAGCTTGGGTTTATTCCTGACACTTTCGCCCACAGTCCGGTGGAGACTCTGGCTGCTGCGTGGCACTTGGCAGCGTCAGAGGCCCTTGACCGGATTGCGCCACTGCGGCCCCTCCGAGGCGGAGAACCCCGGAGACCCCCTTGGTTTACCG